ATTGGTGCTAATGTTGTTAGTTATGTTCTGTATTATGTTTGTTTACAGATTGTATAGAGGAGCAGTACCTGTTTGGACGAGACTCTGAGTGTAACTATGTTCTTGACGACCCTGAACAACCAGGATCCAAGAAGTTCAAAATCTACAGCAAGAAACACTTCAGGATCTACAGAGTAAGATAACTGCTAATGCTAATGCTAATAGCTGCTTTCAGACCTGAACTCAAACGTCAGAGTGAGACTCAGTTTGTCTGTCTCCTCCTTCACTCCTGTATAAAGTCTAAGTCCAGGAGAAGTGAGGACACAGCAGAGCGTCCTCCACTGATCCTCTGAGGGAGTGGGGGGGTGATGAGCTTCTAACACGTGACACACAAACATGAAGAAACACAAACAAATGTCTCTGGAGACAAAGTGCTGACACACACGTAGAAGACACAGACGAAGACGCGAAGACAGTTTGTGGTGATGAGAGCTGACGACGGTGTCAGGTGATGTAAACATGATCACATGATCACTTCCTGTCTGTCTGCTCCACCTCTCACCTGAAGAACGAGGAGGATCTGATGCTGAACGAGTCTGAGCAGAAAACCTGCTGCTGAGTTGTTCAGCTGTGAAACATGAACTCTGGAGACACGAGTCTCTGGAGACGAGCCTCTGGAGACGAGTCTCTGGAGACGAGTCTCTGGAGAGCTGATTCTACCTGGAGCTCATGTCTGAAGACAGCTTATGCTACTGCTACTGTTGATCTCTGCCTGTCTCTCTGTGTATCTGTGGCTTCGCCTGTCTGTGTCTCTGCCCGTCTTACTCACAGGAGGACAGTGAGGTCTTTGTGGAGGACTACAGTAATAACGGAACGTTTGTCGACGGGAACCTGATTGGTAAAAACAAGAAGCTTCCTTTGGTCAACAATGCCGTCCTCGCCCTGGCTGAGCAACGCAACAAAGGTCAGAAGTTAATGTGCTCACATGTAAATATTAGCTGGTGTCTCAGTCCGTCTGTGTCCAGCTGCAGGACGAGACACCAGGGGCCTGTCTTATGAAGCAGGATTTGTGGTTATTAGGTAAGTTCAGGTTAAATTCAGAGTTTTCAGTTCTACAGAAGTCGTTCACTTCCTATCGTGGTAAATCACCACGGTACTTCTTAGGGCCGCAGGATATATATAAAAAATGTATCGTCACTGTCACTGATATCGACAAGATGCAAATTTACTACAGAGTTGAAATGACCCGCCCTACTCTGCCTCTGATTGGCCTCTGATTTTGTTGATTTATTGGTTTGTGTTTATTCACGAGGACTGAAAGTCAGGTCATGTCGATCTTATAAAAACCTATTGTCTACTAATGATCAACTCCTGCAGCGCCCCCTGCAGGTGCTACAGCAATTCCAGAAGCCATATGTGCAAGCCTGTAAGGATTTTTCATTATGTCCTCTTTGCCTGTCTGTCTCCAGTCTTTGTCTTCATTGACCTCATGTCTGATGATCAGTCGACTTTACCTAAAGAACTTCAGGAGAAATATCTGCTCACTCGACGAATCGGAATGTGAGTCTGACACGCTACACGCCACTGTGATGTCACATGATGTCTCCCTGCAACACAGCTCACTGTGTGTGTGTGTGTGTGTGTGTGTGTGTGTGTGTGTGTGTGTGT